CGATTAGAGCTGGTCGTAAACAGCGACAACCAATGACCGTAGCGTGTCACTGCGGCGCTTGCGCTCGAGTTTGGACACCAGCCAAAGTTCGTGCACCTACTGCGAACTGAGCAGTAAAGGTTGTCGGATTCAAGTCAGGGTGGAGGCCCATCGGCACGCTTGACTCGACGATCTAGTGGCGACGTTCGTAGAGGGCGACGGAGAAACGTGTCGCATGTTCATCCATAGTGAAAGTCTGCACCGCCGAGCTTCTTCCAGAAGCGACGGGGAAAAGAAGAAAAGAAGTTCGGGTAGCATCCGTCGAAGACGCTGATAGGGATGCCTCGGATCGAAGACAGCCATGAAAGCTCGTATTCCTTTAAGAGAGCACGGTGTAGGCGGTACACGACGCTTACTACTGTCGAGTTCCAACTGCATCCCGCCAGTCAATGTGTCTAGTAATACGTTCCAACAACGGGTGGGGACGAAATGCATAAACGGCACTTCACGATATTGAGAAATGTGAAGAATCAAACGCGAATCCTTGGAAACTGCTTGCGAAGCCCGAATCCGCAACGTCGCCAATGGGAGAGTGAGAGCGCGTGGAGTAGCTGGGGTTAGCTGTGGAGTACGCGACCCGGCCGAGACAGAGCAGGCGCTACAAGAGCCACACTCCGCGAAGAAGCATCCAACTGAAATTGAGTAGGAGCCACGTCGGGTGTTGGCACTGATTGTCGATGCTTGTGGTGTCGGTGCTTCTTGTGGTACTTCTTGTGCTTCTTGTGATTTTCTTAGATTTCTTCGTCTGTCGACCGGCAGGACTCGACGAGGCACGTAGCTTGCGGCTCCGATGTTTCCCCGAAGCCGAAGCTGGGACGGAAGGCACCACTCCGTCACCAGAACCAATCGATGAATGCTGCGAAGTGTGGCGATGACGCGGCGGCGAAGATTCATCACTCGTCTCATCGTCGGAGCCGAAGAATTCCGAATGGAGGCTTCTCGTCTTACCATAAGGATGTACATCCTTTTTCGCCAAGTCAGAACTTGAAAGGCTACCCGCTGAGTTCTCCGACAGAGAAATGGGATCCGAGAGCGCCCCAGCTGCAAGAATCGACGAGCCGGCGGCCGGTGTAGAACCATCACCAGGAAGGCCTCGTCATCAGAAGCGTCTAGGTCCTCGCGCATCTGGGTGGTCACCGTGCGGGCAGTCGCAGCAGATCTCCGAAAAGGACGCCCAGAAGGAGACGTCAGCGCGGCCGAGCTTGCAGGGAGAGACGGTCTGGGAACACTCACAGCCGAAGTCACAAGGTCAGTCGGTGTGGTAAGAACAAATACCTCGAGACGGAGCGACCTCAGCTGAGACGTGAGGTGATCGAGAACTAGACGACAACCGGGCGCGCAAAGTTTCTGTTGACACGACGCTTGGAGGTGCGCTCGACTGGGGCAACTCAGCTGAGTTAGAAGACTTCGATTCAAACCCTCGCAGCCGTGCAGGTCGAGCAGCCAATCCACTCGAGGTCGGACTCGGCGCTCGGATCACCGCATTGTGGGGGTCCGGAAGAGGGTATACCAGAACTCAACGGTAGTGAAGCCGTGACTTTGAAAGAAGCCACTGACGATGGTTGAGTAACCAGGACTGACGACGTCAACATATGACCCTAAGACGTAGGCCCCACCAGGGTCGACGAACTAGATGCAGGAGCTGTGTCGTCGGCAGGTACAGAGATGTCAACCTCGTACTCGACTTCATTTTCGCCTTCCTAGCGAGTTGAGACGGCTGCTGTGTAGGAGAAACCAACTGAAGGTGATGAACCTTCTTCCACCGAGTTCGGCGTCGAGACTTACCAGAGCGGGTCTCTCTCTCTGTCAGACACGGTCACCAGAGGCGAACTAGAGCGCAAGAGCGCACTGACGGCGTCGTGTCCCTCCGCCCCTGGAAGTGGGCAAGCGTACGGCTGAGGCGGAGGCGGCGCCAGTGAGCGGTGGCGAGGACCAGCAACAGTGGGAGACTTCGGATTTGCATAACGCCAAAGCTGTTGCGTAGACGTCAAGTCGGCCAACGAAGCACGACGAAGCTGAGCGAGAGTCGGCGTGGGCTAGCTCGCAGCCGTCACTGAGCTCGCAAGCGTCGCAGCCGAGTCCACCGACGGTGTCAAATAAGAAGCCGGAACCTCTGAAGATGCGGAGCTCCATGGTTGAACAATGAAATCAATAGTTGGTCCAGCAGCAGAACTTGTAAGTACCGAGGATGGATCGTCAGCTCTAGTTGTCGGGACTCGCCAGCAGGGACGCCGAGAACTTCAATAAAGCGAGACTCCAAGATGCGACACAACCGGGCGTTCAGTCGAAGGTCGGACGGAACATCCAACCCGGCGCCAGCAGCAGCCATGTGGGGGTCATGCATCGGAAGAGTACCGTTTCGGCGGATGATCCGCTTCTGTCGCAAGATCACTGACCGCTGACCATCGATCACCAACTGAGCGTGCCGCAAGGGTTAATTTCCAGTCGAGCTGTACAGGTGCACCGACTTCTGCAGCTGCTCGAAATGTTTGGCAGCAATGCCCTGAAGGGTTGCATACGCTGCGTCCTTCTTGGTGATGGTCTGGAGGAGAGTTGCGATCTCAGCGCCTCGATCCAAGACTTGCTGATGGTGGAGCCGAGCCTGACGCAGCGCACCGCAATCTTGCTTTGCTCAGCTTCGACAGCCCGAGCGAGTTTTGCCTCACTCAAAGCTACGGCTTTTCGCAGTGAGGTAAGGTGAATAACTGACTGCGTGGCAGCGATGACCTGTGGGAGTAACTAAGAGCAGCGTAGTGACCACGCAAGATTTCCAGCAGCTCCTCAGCTGTAGAAGCGTGCAGGACAGCTTGCCGTTGTGCAGGATCAGAATGTTTTATGGGGCGAGTGAGCCCGTAAGCCATGAGCCCCGCCAAGAAGGTCAATTCTTCCCGTCGCTCGTGGGTTACAGTATCGCGAGGGAGATAAGCCTTACTGGGACAGTTGATCTCGACAGATTGTTGGCGCCCGAAGTGGTGCCGCCCGGCAAGATCGGTGGACCAGGAAGGCGCGTGCGAGAAAACTCCGCCGACTCCGCGTCAGACCCATGGAAAGTTGCTAGGTCGACTAGCCCAGCATCATGCCGGTCGCTGACCCCACGAGTACCAACGGGTCGAGGAATCGACTCAGCGGACGCGCCTTCACCTCGACGAGGAGTCGGTGGAGAAGAGTGGCGCCGTGTGTTGTGCTGGAGAAACAGACGAGGAGCGTGAGGAGCTGTCAGGTGAGCAACAGCAGATCCATCGAGCGTACCGACGAAGGTGGTGGAGGACCGCGAGACGTCATTAGCCGAGTATGGACCAGCGGTGGCAGAACCAAATGAAGGATTAAGACGCTCATCAGCTCGGCTCGTATCATAACCGGGGCAGTTGTGGTGTAGGGATTTCCAGATTCGGCCGTACGTCAACCTACTTTAGACCAAGAATCGACTCGGTCTCGTAACCCATAGCTTAAGAACAAAGGATCACGGTGAGTACTCAGCAATCTGTCAGGATGATGCTATCCGGATGGTCGCTGCGCTCAGCGGTCGCCTGAACCCAGCGGAAGGGTCGGTAGAGATCCGATTCGACTACATTTCACTAGATATTTGTAAAGGAAGCATAGGATTATATAGGGAAGCCGAAAAGGCTCCCAAAAGATAACAGAGCAGAATTCTTCTAGTCCAAGACACGTGTACACTCTTCCGGTAAGTCCCTGCATAGGGCTGGATTATGGCTGCCGTTGATACTCGAGAGGCATAGGTTGTCGGGTATTGACTGGTTGCTCCAAGAGATTAGGTCGGTCCGGGTAGGACAAAAGTCTCGCTACGCGCGAAAGAAAGCCCCGCGAACTCAGCGGGCCGTTACGTCGGATAGCTTGGGTACCGTGGCACTTCTAGCTAAGCAGCCTCTGCGCTCGGTGACCTGTAAAAGCTCTCGCACGCCGTCGTCCCTCCTTTAGTGGAGGGCACAGGGTTTATGAGCGAGCTCGGCCGAGTCAAACTCGGCGGAGCCTCGAAAGTGCTCTGACTTGGTTAGTCGGAGCTCAGTGGAAGTGAGCCACTCGTCTGTCACGGCTGGGCCGAGCCGCGACGGGGCCACCCTCTGCGAGGGTCATACAAGTGCCGACCTAACTCGGCGATTTGTTGTGGTTTGTGTAAGGAATCCATATCTGACAGTATTTGTGTGCTCTTCTAAACCACATATTACTGCTGGTAGAAATAGCGGTGCCAGTGGAGTTGATGCTAGCGATAGGCGGTGGCGTAGCTCGTGTAATTAGGGTGACAGACTGTGAAGCTCAGTTGATGAGCCAGCGATGTCCGCCGCTTGCATCACAAAATTATTTTCAGTATGAGAGACGGCCCTGTCGCGACATCGGGCACAACGTTGCGAAAGGAGAGCCGACAAAGCTCCGCGTAATCGAGTTTTATAGGAGAGAGCAGGGAACTGGTCCCGTGTTGAAGCAGTATGTGCATTATCAGAAATATCGATATGGAGATATCAATGTACGACATTGTGCCACGAACGATGCTTCGGTGTGTTTCGCAAATCGAAAAGTACCAAACCCTCGATACTCCAAAATGGGGGGCAGAATTGGTACGAAAAATATTTCCACCTTATAGCAAAAGTGCGCAATTCTGCGCCTGGTTCACAGTTTTTTTTTTGACCGAGTTAAAATTCTTTTTTTTTTGGAGACACAAACAGACTGTAGCAACAAACTGGCCGTTGACCTTATCGCCTTTTTACTTTGCGTCCAACTCGTGGTCGTGATGAGAGCTTCCAAGCACAAACTGAAGGATCACCCTGAACACGAGACAATGTCAAAAGTTACCGAGGTAAATGCTGCGTTAGACAGCTTAGATTAGGTTTAAATGGTCTCAGCAATTGCTCCTCTAATCGTGGAAGTAGCGTATGAGCAAACTAGCAAAAGTGTGTCGCTGACAAGATGAAATAAACATCAGCGTGATTTGCATCATGTCGACTGCTCTACAGACGCTTGATGGCTTTTTTCTTGTTGGCCTTCTTCTTCTTGAGAGAACTTCCAACATCGCTGCTAATTTTCATCTTCTTGATTGGTGTCGACAGTGCCGCATCATTCCCATCCGACCTCGTAACATCCTCAGCAGGTCGTTTGTGCTGGCTGTTGCTACAGTTCCTCTTGTCCTCCTCTCCACTCGTTTCACCTGCTTCCTCACACACAGCCGATCGTTTGGGTGCGTGAATGTTCGTCCACAGCTTGGCACGACGCGCGTACTCGTCATAACTGTCCAGGAACAGCTTCCCCGCTTCGTCATTCAGTGAGGACTCTGGAAACGGGACGATCAATAGACAGCGAATCACCTGCAGCACATGAGCCAGACCGAGCGACGCCTTCCAATCCTTTTTCAACGTATTGACGCAAATATCGCCTGCTGGCTGCGATACATTGGGGTGGAAGATCTTGGTTAGGAAGACACCACGCGGGGGTTGCTCCGGGAAACTCTCAGTGAGAGTGAGCTTGACTGTAAAGTAGCCTCCTTGGTAGGGCGTGTCCTCCGGTCCACGAATCTCGGCGTGAATCTCACAAAGTTGCTCCTCTTCCTGCGGAAGATACCGGATACCTTCTAAAGGCTGCACAACAAGCTTTCGCAGCTCGCGAGCCACGCGCTGAGCTACTTGCGGCAGCAGATTCTCTCGTGCCAGCTACAGAATTAGCCAATGGACAGCAGAGTTAGTCCGACATTTTTATAATTGCAAACCTTGTAGAGAGATTTGGAGCAGACTGCAGCTATGCAGCTACAGACAAGACAAACGCAAAGATAATTAATGTGCTTTTACCATTGGAGGTCGCGTGTGGAAGACGACACAGAAAGCGGCGTGAAGCCTTTCGCGGGAACAATTTCAAATGGCCGTTTTTGGCAGATGTGGTTTTTGTGGGGCACATCGAATTGGTACTATTATTAGAGTACTTTCCACGAAACGACACAAGACGTTTCTACATTCCTAGTACAACTTGCTACTACTGTAGCAAGTTGCTAGACGCTGCGTCGCCAGGATGCAACAGTCAGCAGAAGATGCCGCTGCTGAGCTGCAACGGCGCAATATGCCGTCGTCTACGACTATTTTCCAGTTTCGACGACAGTCAGAGGATCGTGGCGTTGTCTCCAAGTCATCGGGGCGATCAAGTTCTTCCACACCGAGAAATGTCATCGTGCCAGACTTGACAGACATTGGTGAAGCTGCACTCCCAACTGCGCCACCTGAGGAAAATATCCCCGTGTCTGGGCCAGCGAAGAAGTATCTTCAGACTGGTAACTCTCGTGCTCCACCCGTTGAACCTAAGCACAAGGTCAGCACACGGGTCATGGCACCTGGTTCGTTGCGTGGTAAAGTCCATTTCTATTGTGGCGATGGTAAAGCAGCAGTCGGCGCAGTGCGCAGTGCAAGACGAGCATTAGGTCATCTTTCGTTGCAGCAGGGTATAGCGTTCTTGATGCTGTTGGCGGGGATGCTGTCTGAGTCAGGCACCCCAGCTCCGCGTTACAACGTTCCGATTGCCATCGCTCTCATCTTGCTACCAGCAGCAGAAGACGACGGCTTACAACGTGAACATCACCGCATGTACATTACCGGACTGGCCTTGGCCACTGCTCTTGACTTCGTGTGGCTCATGCGTCCACAAGAAGGAGCGTTCAATGGATACTTTGTGGAAAGCTCCAAGAGCTTCACCGATGTAGGAATCGCGTTTTGTTCCCTCGCCAAGATCAGCCTCATCTTCTGCAACTACTTGGAGCTCGTCGATACGGAGCCATTTCTTGATGAAGACAGCGAAGAGGCTCGTAAAGCACCGGCAATTCTACCACCCAGCTTCCGTCTGTGGGATAAACTCAAGTTCTTCTTCCCCAGACGCACACTGCCGAAACGTGCACAGCTGAGTCTTGAAGTGCTGCATCGTGTGTTAGTACTCGCGTGGATACACCTTATCTGTGGTATCCTCCTGCTTGGCCTTGGACTTATTGGGACTGTGTGGTATTCCGGACGCACGCAGTTTCGAGTTCACCCTGTTGGCATCCCGCTCTATATCATGCTGCTACTTAAGTCAGCTACGACGTTGTTAACATACTTAACAGTCTCCCATCGGATCAACTATGACGCTTGTCTCGAGCTTTACGGTTTGCGCTCGCGTGACTCCAACACCCGAGTACGACAAGTGGACGGTGTGCAGATTCGTCTACCTCAGGAACCCGTTCTAGCCTACAACCGAGCATGGCTACATCGTGTTCAGCGTGCAAAGGCTGTTGACGGGATAGCAGGCGGCTATCTCTTGCTTGTCTTCTACGCAGCTCTACGTAGCGGACAAGTAGTAGGCGGACGAGGCGTCCCCGCGATGTTAGCTTGCATAGCGCTGGTTCAACTCGTACTGGACGTGTGGACGCCACTGCTTATCTTGGTGGCCGGACGTTGTGGCTCAGCATTGTATACACTTCATCATCAAGGAATACCCGGGACGGATCCCCTTTTCCCGCCTCAACTTCGGTGGGATGACAGCGATGAAGATGACAGCGATGATAGCGACAGCAGTGACGATGACAGCGAGTCAGATAGCGACTCTAATGGCGATCACTCGTTTCACTCGTCTTCATCCAGTGGAGATGCCGACAGGGCGCCAGCCGAAAGACGAGAACGGAGATTACGTCATCGACAACGGCGACTGGAAGACCTGCGAGCAAGTCCACGTGAACCTCAGTTGCCCATTGTAGACGCGGACGCTGTCGCAGGTAATCAAACAGCACGTAGTGCTCGTGACATTGCCACTGCTCGGGATATCGTTGACAGTGCCAACAGTTCTGGAACGGGAGTGTGGGTTCGTCACTGGCATGAGGCATCAAAGAGGGCTTACTTGGTGCACTCAATCACCAATGAAGCAGTTTGGGAAGCTCCGAAACAGTCAACCACACCACCGATGTCAGCCCGGCTGCCAGCATCGACTAGAGAATCTGTCAGACTCGACAGCGCTCGTCTCACTCCTGACAGCGCTCGCTTCACTCCTGCATCGTTCGATAATCACTGGAAGGACTTGGCTGATGGCGGTGGCTTTAACTGCCGAGTCTCCCGGATCCCCGAAATGGCCATCCTCGGTCGACACCTACACGAGCACGAATTTATTGTCGTCTCTGACGGTCTTGGTGTCTCCCAGCAACGAACAGTCTTGTTTTACGCTGAAGACTTTGAAGACGATGAGGATTCAGACCTCATGTTCATGGGCGAGTTCGTCTTCGATAGTCTCAGTCTCAAGCTACGTGCTCGCTTCCGCTGTTCTGAACCTGAGCAAATTGTCCAGTTCGTGAAAAGGTTACAACTCAAGGAGATCGTGGGCGCTTATGCCCCCTGCGACTGAAACAGATATGAGCAATACGAGTCTATAATATTTGAGAACTATCTTGTTGCTTTTTGGTCACTTGTCTGCAGGAACAAAATGCACAGAACGCGAATTAGAGTATTAGAGCGCAGCAGTGGGGGCTTTACATGATGTTGCAGCGGCGCTCGTCTCCTTCCTCGACAAAACGTTCGATGTCCTCGTCCGTGATCTTGCCTGGCTTCATGTTCTTCGGGAACAAGTCCTTCACCAGCACGCCTTCCATGTCTGAACGGAGGTAGAAGAGTAAGTAGGCAGACGGGCTAACGACTTGCTGGTCTTCTACCACACGGACACGTTCGTCGTCGTAGTAATACCATTCGATCAAAAGACGGGCCCAGCCGGTGATCCAAACCGCGAGCTATCGCACCCAAAGCGAGAATCATACCACTAGACCACTAGGTCGCTAACCTACACTCTTCACAAACTACATGGTCGCGCATACCCCGACAACCGCATCACAAGAAGCGAATTCCACTAACGCACGAAATACGCGGTTGCCCACCTCTGCTGCGCTTGGGCCGCGAATGCACGATGACTATCGGTCGTGGTAGTAGAAGTGGCCTCGGTGTCCGTCGTAGCAGTGCTGTCAGCCTTTGCATCGGGTGATGACGACTCTCCGTCAGCAGTCGCATCTTCAGCTTCTGCTGACAGTTCACTGTCTTCAGGTTTCTCTCCTGGAGCGTCTTCCTCCGACTCAGCCACTTGCTCATCGTGCTTGTCCGTAGCTGAACTAGCAGCAACATCTTCAGTTGCATCGTGAGACGTAGGAGCAGAAGACCCGTTACTAGCGGTACTTCCGCCACGAGATCTGAGCTTCATCAGCTTACGAGCAGGGGCTGACAGTCCACTTGAAGTACTCTTGAATCTCTTCATTGGATATTTCTCCGGTATTTCAAAATGTGGAGCCACGCAGCACTGGAGATCCAGGTCATGAATAGGAAACTCCACGAGTGACGCGAGCTTCCGTCGATACGTCTGTGTGTACTGGAAACGCTTCAAGTGCACCACCATCACAGGCGGTAGACGCCAAATCTCGAGCTTCTTCGTCATTTCCTGGTGTTTCCTGCAGCTGGAGCAGTAGCCCTCGCTGATCTTCTCCTCACTTGTGAATGCATCCAAGCAGTGTTTCAACGGCACAGGGCCTTTGTCGATAGCCTCGTTACGTGCGACGCTTTCGTGGTTTTCAACGTGCTTCATCGTGTCCATCGTCTCGCGGTCTTGGAACACACTGAGGTCCCAGTCAATCGCAATAGCTTCTTCTTCCAGAATGTCCAAAGGCTCCGATGTGCACGGGACTGTTAATCCGAAACTACGCGTCAGCCACGATGATCTCGAATCGGTCAGTCCCTTGTTCTCCACGCGACGCAGCAAGAAGCCGCACTTGGAGCTAAACACCACTGACGCATCGTCGAGACCCGCAAACACGCTGTCAATATGATTAGCAACCAGGCGGTCGGCATTCCGCGTCTCGTCCTCGTCCCACTCGGTTGGAGGTTTTGCATCCGGGCCCACATATTGCTTTACGCGTTCCCACACCAACTGATACAGCTGCAAGCCACTCGTAAGCTCTGGACAGAGTCGCACAAGGTTTGGCGAACCGAAAGGCACAGGCCTGAACGGGTTCTTAAAGTACACAGCCGAGTAGCTGAGTTTACGCGAAAGCAGCGGAATGTACAGCAGTCGTGCTTGACGTGGTCGGAGACGATTCAGTGGCACCTTGATCTCATCCTCTGTGCGACGGAGACGTACTAGAACAACAGGTTGGTCTTCATAGTCAGCATGAGCTGTAGGCGCTTCCAAGACAACCGCCGGGATGTACTCGTGTGTTTGCGTTCGCATGCGCACATCAACTAGCACACCCTTAGTCAGCTTCTCGTAGAACGCAGAATGATCAGTCTCATCTGGTCGTAGACTACCCGATCCAACAGTCTGGACGTACGAGGGGCGACGATGTCGAGTGGCTTGAATCGTTTCTGGGTCTAAAGGTTCCAGTTGGAACGCAATGAGTCGGTCAATACTGCGGATCTGGCCCACCCGGCGGTTGTCCGCTTTGAAGCTCAAGATCATCGATCCGCTAAACTCGCACAACTTGATGTCGCTCTCAGTAACGTCAGCCAGATCGAACTCTTCGCGGCACATTTTCATCAGCTCGTGCTTCAGATCAAAGATCGTCGCGGAGATACTTAATCGGACAGACACTTTCATTGGAGTGACTCCATTAGCCAGCATTAGCTGCACCGTCACCGTGTTATGCTTGGGTTCCGGTAGCGGTACCTGGAGGAAGGTGAAGGGCTCGAAGCGTGCCGACTTAAAGCCGCATACACTGCATGTCAGCAGCGACTTGTACTGCCCCGTGAACAACGCGACAATGATCGATACTTCACGTCTTAGATGGTTGCGCCACCACTCGTCAGCCAGATCAGCATCGTAGCGACCGTCGCTGTCCGGCTGCTCAATGTAAGGCTTGTCCTGAATCCGGTTTAGATCCTCACTTAATCCACTCAGCAGAAACGCAAGAAGTTCCTGAGCGTCTTGCTGGTCGTTGCCACGGAATACTTCGTTGAACTTGCCGATGGATTTCTTAAAGTTTCGCGGAGAAATGGACTTCTGCTTCACACACCACATGTCCTCAGCGAGCTTGCCGTAGACTTCTGCTAGCTTACCTTGCAGTCCCAGTGTGCTGGTGCGGTTGATGTCCTCCAAATACATTCCGGAGAGAAAGTACTCAGCCAGCAGCTTCGTGTTTGTAAGACATTGCAAGGCAGAGTTCATGTAGCAAGTGTTGCCGAGATTCGCGAGTCCAACAGAGCCACCCGATCGCATGCGGCGGGGAAGAGCAAGTTCCTGCTTGCGGCGGTTTTCCTCTTCAGACGGAACAGACGATGCATCGTCTTCCACGTCGTCATCATCGTCTTCCTCTTCCATATCCGTGTCGGTTCCCTTGCTCTTAGACTTCTTCTTTAAAAGTTTTTTCTTCGTCCCAGACTTCCCTAGATGTCCAGCATGAGACTCCCCGCCACCAGCAATGACAACTTGACGCTGGATCTCGTGGACCAGCCACCGTACCACAGCTTGAGCGCCATCCACAACTGCTCGCCTATGATGATGTAGTGACGACCAAGCTTAATTTCATCCGATGTCTTGAGGATTCGATCGCGACGATCACTCGTGAGCAGAGGATAGTTATTGATGCACTTCGGACGGATAATTTCTCCCTTGAGGTTCTTCATGTAGTTGTCCTTGTTGGAGGTGCTACCGCCATTGACCTGCACCTTCGACGTGCTAGGAGTCGAAGTAGACGTATTGCTCGTAGGAGGGTTCGAAACTGGAGGCGACAGCGCCAGAGACTCCTTCACATGGATCTTGATGTATCGGCACCAATGAATATACCACTTGCGCTCAAGCAGATACCACCGATCATCCTCCACCAAGGTAGTGGGGTCGTAGGGAGTGTAGCACCCCGTCGCGATTAATAGTTCTTCCTCCTTCGTCGCCGGGACCAAACCAAGATCGATAAACGCCACCTCGCGCATGATTCGCAGCGTAGCCATTTCGTACTTCTGCTTGATTGCCCATGCTGTGAACTCGTCGAGAGTTAGAGTTAGAGCCTCTGTCTGTGCTGAAGACGAGCTGGCGTCCCAAACTCTTCTCCTCTTCCCAAAGCCTTTCATGATACCATCGACGAAAATGCCCAATTCAGACCCCGATACCGACGGTGTTCGTGGCTCCATGCTCTCAATCAGAGACGAAGATGATGAGCTCTTCGTGGCGTTCAGCGACGGGTGCTTCTTCTCAATGAGAGCCGTAATCTGGCTCTCCAGCTCCGGGTTTTGCGTAATGTCCAGTCGCAGCATACTGTAGATATCCTCACGCGTCATGTACGAGCCGTCCTCAACGCTTGCAAAAAGCTTGAAGGCAAACTCGGCCTTCTCCTTTGTAATGCCTCGGCAAGCAATTGACAACGCGCTTACGAAGCTGAAAACGTCAATTTCAGATCCATTCGCACGCGAGCCAAAGCTGGTAAACACGCGACAAAACCGATCCTCGGACATTTCCAAAGGGAAGTCACTGGTAAGTGCATCCACATCCACGGCATCACCGCCTCCGGAGGCGCGATAGTTGTTAAAGGCGTCCTGCAGGACAGCCACCTCCTTTGCAGTAAAGTGCGTTTCATTAGCGAGGATCTTCTGCTGTACGACAGGGTTGAACTCCTCCTGTGACTCCAGCAACTGTGGATTGGCGGTCTCGCACAATATATCGGCAAAAGGCGCCATCCAGTCCACTAGAGTATGATATGCCTTGAGTTCTGGGACAATCTTGATAAAATCATCACAACTCATGCGTACTCGACCCTGATCGAAGCCTTCACTCAACAGACGACGATATTCCGGTCGATCCAGCACGTTTCTTCCATGAAGTGACACCAGAAAGTTGCTGAGTCCTGTACTCTGCACTTTTCCTGCATGATCCAGATCGCACATATTGAAGATGAATTTGAGCTGGTCCTCCATCGTACCGCAGTTTAAAACTGCCACGGCACGTAGGAACTCGTCCATGTTAATGTCCGAGCCTTGACGATCGGATACGGTTTTCATAAAGCGCATAGCGAAGCTCGACGGCATGTCCGGGAAAACACCGAGGATGTCCCTACGAAAGGAAGCGCGGCTAATACAGATCTGTGATCCAGCCGTGTGCATGATGACACTGTGGCGGTTGCCATTCTCATCCGTAGTACTGCCTTTCGAAGGTTCTCCAGTGCTGGTCGAGGTCGTCACATCCTTTGCTGGTGACGTCGGAGGGCGTCCTCCCGACGAAGTTGGCGCCGAGCTTGCAGACCCACGCGAGGGCTCAGCCTCCGGCTTATGTCCACCAGAAGTGCTTCCATGGTATAAATATTTGGAGGAGCAAAGCCGCTTGAAGGCAGCCGAGAAATCATCCAGCAGCTCTGATGGCAGCATGTTCTTCATCCTCTCGGACTCCAATTCCTTCTTGTGTCGCTGCAGTTTGCGTTCGTACGACTCCATGTGTGCGTACACTTCCAAGAAGTTAAACAGAGGGACTCGGATGAGCGGCCGGATGTCCAACACCTCGTTAATGTACTTTTCCAGCTCACTACGTCGCTGCTCCACGACACTTTGATGGCGATTGCGGAACACATGACGTTTAGGAAAGTACAACTGCTTGACGGGCGAGCTGGTTCGCTTGAGCCGATCATGTAGCTCTCTAAAGTCCGAATAGCGCTTACGAATGAGCCATTGCAGTCCTCCCTGCAGTCTCACCTCAATTGAGAAGACGGTGTGGGTCGTCTTGTCAATCTCCGTCTCGGTGACTCCATCCGTAGGGAGCGTCACACTCTCGATCTCGAAAGACGGAGCGGATCCTGAGGACGGACTCGAATAGGCCGACTCGTTCGTTTGTCTTTCCCTAGAGCGAAGGCCAATGAGTTCACTAGACGTGTGGGATCGCTCGAGTGTCGGGGCGGAGCGCGCACTGCCTACTTTGGGCAGCTGTGGCACGGTATCCTTGCTCTCGTTTGTGATGTCGGATGCGTCATTGGTCGCCCGCTCGGCAGACGGGGATGCTGACCTCGCAGTGTCTAGCGGCGTTGGTGCGCTGGGCGCGGACGCTGTCTCCCCCTTACCGCCGCGCAGACTGAGCTCTGACGCCGAAGAGAGCGATACAACGTCATCTTCCTCAGCGATGGAGGCAACACGAGCGCTGTCGTCACCGCTACTGTTGGCCGCATCGGAGTCGTCTCCACGAAGCGCCAGATCGTACGCGGGCAAGCTCGAGCTCTTGCGCAATATCGGCGGCGTGGACGACGGCGCTAGCGGCTCCGTCGGCTCCGTCGAGTTGTCCATGGCGACACTGGAGCCTTAGTGGCAGAAGTTGTGAGTGCGGAATGCAAGAGTGATGGTCGCGCGAGTTCGCGTTGGAGCCTTGCGGTCTCTTGTGATTGCTGTTGTTCGGTTTCCGAAATTCCCCTCCCTCCGACGAAAGTTGCAGCCGTTAATTGTTTAGGAACCAACTTTAGTCTGAAATTGGCAAAATGCTCCGGATTACAAAAAAATGAGCAGTTCAACCTCACGAGCTGCTCGACGTGTCGACGCTGTGCGTCCTTGCGAGCAACGACACCGATTTGGCGGCTCCGATGTAGGGTAGAGATACTGCACTTGCACGCAGACGACGAAGGTGAAACGCGTAGAGTCTGTGAGGCAAAGTTTCGCTTTTAAGATAGATTTTCAGGCTCGAGTAGCCTTTTTAAAGGCAACTCGAGCCTGATAACAGCGTGTTTTAACCCTTTCAGTTATGTTCTTATCTGGAGATAATAACTGAAGCGTATGATTCTGCACTCGATCATTCGACACCGAAATTCAACAAGTTTTGACGTTACGTTGGACTTACTGGCATTACTGGAGAAAATGTGTCACTGTTGTAGCTACAAGACAAAAGAAGGGTTAGTGGTGACAGTCTCTAACAACAGTCTAGCAATTTGCCCCTCGTTATTCAGTTTTTTTTTATTTCACATACATGTTTGTAAAGTGTTTTTTTTTGTTACCTTAAGTATCAACGATCCTCGAAACGCGTTAAGTCCACATATTCTCGTAGCACAGACTACTGTTGGTACATTACAGATTACAGCTCATACATGTACTAGGTTTGGCTCATTGTCAAGTTGCAAGCGTAACATAATTTTAAAAAAATGCTAATAATCGTTTTACTAGTGCAGAACTACTGTTTGAATTCTAGAATATTGGACGGGCTTGCGGACTCTAGCAAACAGGTTATTGTAGTGGGCTTTAGCATACTGTACACTGCTCTTAGTAAACTCGATCTCAGATCTGCTTACTGTTTTTACTGACATGTTTTGAGATAAAAGGCATTGAAGTTTTAAGCGATGAGCCCATTTTGCCCATAAATGGGCGGTTTGCTGATGTCGTCGAGTCGCAGTTGAAGTTTTTGGGTCTTTTGATTTGCTAGTCGAGCCTTAGTTTCACAACGAGGACAGTTTGCTTAATGGACACCACTTCACACATTGCATTCGCAGCAGTTACAATTAAAACAGAGCTACAAGTCTTCATCGCTGTCCGTATCGAAGCTCGAGAGCTCCAGCAACCGCTTGGCTCGCTGCAACAGCTTCGTGCGGTCGTCCTCGATTGTCTCGTCCTCCTCGTCGCTCTCATACCGAACATCGAACGATTCATCAAGGTTCTCGTCCTCCTTCTCCTCGTCACTGAAGTCGTCGAACCGGATCCCCAATTTCTTCTCGAGCTCAGCGATTGGCCGCTGTAGTGCATCCATTACGTTCATACTTGCGTCGCTGTCGCTTTCGGAATTCACATTAAGATCAGCGGCAGATTCGGCATGTTGATTGGCCGTAGAGGCAACAGACTCAGCAATAGAGACAGGATTGTACACACGTTCCTGTGTCTGTGAGTATTCTCGAGAAGCACCTTCAGACGTGGACACATTGTCGCTCTTCACGGAGTCATTTCGAGCTGCTAGGGGTGTAGATACTTCCTCTTGCACTTGATAAAAGTGTTGGGCACGTCGAGGCGTGGAATACCCGTCCTCATGCACTTGCAAGAGATCAAGCGTAGCCGGCGAGTTGAATTCTGCTTCATTGCTCTCCAGTGAGACCTTCCACGAGGCCAGTGGTGTGGACACTCCTTCAGCTTGGGGCTGTAAGAGTTTGCGAGCTGTCGGGGGTGTCAGGATCTCTTCTTCATGAACGCGTTTATGCGAGAAATTTTGGGTTTGAATGGCTTCGCTTTCACCCTGCGGAGACTCGCGAGCAACTTGACGATAAGACGGTTGTGGGGTGTTGTATCTTGCAGTCTCTAGATCCAGACTTTCCTCCATATTTTGCCTTGATCGATCCTCTTCTCGTGCATGACTCTCAACATTTTCATCATCGCTGTGACTACTGCTAACGTTGCCCAACGCTTTCTCCAATAAGCTCATCTCCGCCATCGTTCTTCGCATCGAAGCACTGGCAAAGCTCATGCTGCTTTCACTACTAAGTGGACCTTGCAGAGGTGAACGAGTGGTGAATTGGGAAGACCTGTAGTCTGGAGTGCGTGGAGGGGGTTCATCTCCTTCACTCGCGTTGTCTGCAATGTCACCAGTAGGTGGTCGCCAAGAAGGTACCTCGCTCCCGAAGGCAGAACTTTCATCAAGAGAGCGTCGAGCATTGCCACGGTCTCGTTGTCCATCTACTCCCACGTCTTCCTGGTGAGAGCGCTCTGTTCGAGAGTCTCTGTCTTCTTTCCCATGGACACGGGCGTTCGCTTGCTGAGAGGCTCCTCGGGAGAAGAATTCTTCATCTGCCTTAAAGCTGATCTCATCCTCCAATGTGTCATGTTCCTGCCGCTCCTTTCGACGTGCTCGACGCGCTGTTTCCAGTTCCAGCACCTCTCGGTCTTTAGCAAGTTGCTGCTCCAACAGCTTGTTCTCTAGTTCCTGGCGGACACGTTTTTCTTGGGATAACAACGCACTCTCCTCTCGTTGACGTAGCTTAGCCCTGGCGTTTCTCGTCTGCTCCTCATCCTCCCTCTTCCAGCTTTCAAATTTCAGCAAATACTGAAGTTCTTGCTGCTTTAATCGAGTCTCAAACTCAGTACGAAGCCGCGACAATCGCTCTTCCATTTCGCGCTGTTTGTGGATCCCTCGCACACGGTCGTGCGTCTCAACTTCGACTCGCTGCAAGTCTTCTTCCTGCTTACGAGACGAAATCTCGAACTCCATTCGCTCCTTCTGCATTGCCAGCGCACTTTCCATCCGCTGATACTCCGTTTGCAACATTTTAGACGCTTCCTCCAGTGATTCACTGGCAGATTTCTCCATATTGCTGAGATGCTGCAGTCTCCGCTTCCGAGTCTGGTAGTCGAGCGTTTTAAGGTGAAGTATCCTCTCCTTTTCAGCAGCTATAGCTTCTTTTCGTCGACGCTCTTCGGCCTCCAAGACAATTTTTCTCTCCTTCATCCATTTCTCATGCTCCGCCTTAAGTTTCGCCGAGTCTTGTTCAATCTGATCAAAAAGCGATTGCTTACGAGCCAGCTCTGCCTCCTCCAAAGCGATCCGATTACGTTCCTGACATTACAGTAACAAAGGTGAGTGAAGTACCTATCAAAAGCAACGCCCTCCGTCTACTTACGCTGATCTGGAAGTCCACTACAAACCGTGGATAGTGGGCAAACGCAGGGTACTGTCCCCTTGACAGTGGCCAGTACGGTCTGTGGGCTGAAGTGGTGCTACCTGCAGCAGCTGGGTCCTCGATTGCCGTAAACTCGCTCAGATCCAGCTTCTCTCGCAGATTCATCATGAGCTGAACAAACTTTTGGATGTCAATCGCGTTCTGCTGGTGGAAAAACTGCTCGATCGAAAATCTATCGCAAGCAGCGAGGAGAGCGGTCCGGAAGTAGGACAGATAGGCCAGTACAGCCACGTAGATCAGCTGGGGAGTGTCCGAGAACGCAAAGAGATGGTCCCACAGACACACCCACTCGTCTTCGCTGAGCACTTCCGTGAAAATAGTCTTTAGCAAACTCCAAGCGAACGCCTCGGACGTAATTTGGTAGCGCGTAAAGTGGTCAAACAGCTGGGAATCCCGTCGAGCCAATTCGTGCTCGATTGCACGCATAGCAAAGACCGGTGGATACGGTAGACTGATGAGGAAGTCTCCGCACCAGTGGAGCAGTACGCTGATGCTCGCTTCAAAAGCTGCCAGGTCATTTTCTCGAAAGATCTTGACGAACGGATACACCACAGCAGGCAGATAGCTCACTTCACCGAAGGCTGGACACCAGTAAACAATTGCTGAAAGAAGGCGGTGGAGACGTCGAAAGAGACGGCCATCTTGCAGCGGGTAATGGTCCTTTAATCGGACAAATACCGGGTGTTTGCCTTTCGCCACCAACGAACGGAACGCTTCTTCATTCTTGGGCAGACGAAGAAGGAAGCGCCACACGAGAACGCGGTATTTCCTCGGGAACATGCCACTAACCTTCAAGCTACCAACGAGACGTTTGCGATTCACCTCGATCTCTTGGGCTGACAGTTGAGCAAAAGGACGCGTTAATGGGTTCGTGCGCCGAGTACGAACTCTTTCCCGTAACGTTAGACATTCGCTGTCTTTTACATCTTTACTTGGTACAGTGAAGGAGCCTCCTGTTGCTCGAACACGCGCTCGCGTGGCACTTGCTGGTCGGGTGCGTGGCGTGCCAGGTTGTCCTGCTGCTGTCGTGTCAACTCGAGTCTGCCTTGGAGTCCTACCGCCATGTCTTGGGTATTTCGCTCCGAACAAACTGTCAATTAGCTTCGAAGCGACTGGGCGGCTTTGCTCTGATGCGTTTAACTCCACTTGGTTGGAGTCTGCGGCTGGATCGACATCAAATAATGCCACATCTTCCAACCCAGATCGAGTGCGTAAGCGAGCATGGTCTCCTAGCTCTAACAACCCCTCCTTTCTCCGTCGCTCTTGAGCGCGAGCCGCCGTTTCTCTAGTAATTTCCATGTCGTACAAGAGCAGGAAGCCATCGCTACAATACAACAAAACGGATAGTGAAAAGTTGAACGTGGCCATGACAAGGAAGCCCCGTACCTGGTAGACGCTGCGAGATAGCGAGCATGGCATTCGATATCAAACGCGGTAGCAGTACGGCCTCGGTTGGAGATTTCCAGTTTAATCTGGGGGCTCTTTGCCGCAACGTCGAGGAAAAAGACTCCTCCATCATCAGCTAAGATGCTGAGCATTGAGTTGTGTCCAGGAAGGAAAGCGTGCTGCGTAGTGCGTCCAGATCAGGTCAATACAATGCGAATCAGAAAAGCTAAGCGTAGCGACTTCACTCACACTGACGACCTGTTTAATCGGAGGTGGCAGCTCAATAATCCGGATAATCGTCTGAGACTCGAACTCCCACACGTAAATGAACGGTGCTCGGCCACTGCATCCAATGCAACACCACAAAAAATTAGTAGAAGCAGCAAAAAGTCCCCAAAACTCACGGTGCTTCTCCACCTGGCCACCAGCACTTGATGATCGTCTGAGACCGCGATTTTCTGGAGTCCTGGCGACTGTTCCTTCTCGGGCAATGAGAATCTGTATCTCAAAGCGAGTGACTCTAGTTCCCACATCATGATCGTATCATCCTGGAAACACACGGCCACGAGGTTTCCTTTCGTCACGAAGATTGCCTCTTCCACTCCAGGTCCGGCATTGAGCACACGATATCTCGACCAGTCCTTGGTATCCCACAGAATCACCGCGTCTTGCGAGGCTGTGAGCGCCAATTGCCCTGATTTCTGGAACGACGCACATCGAGCCGGCAGTCGATGACCTCGGAGTGTGCTGATGAGGGTCTGCGACTGTACGTCGATGCAGCGCACGGTCTCGTCCTCGCAGGTCACGAGCAGCTCCGTCTTACGCCTGGGACTGAAGCAACAGCTGATGGTGGGTACGCCTAAGTGCTGCACCAAAGAATAGCGGTTGGCGGTCACGAAGAAGACGAAGATGTGGCCGCGCTCGTCCGTGGCTGCCAGCAGCTCACCAGATACATTGAAGGCCACGGCGCGGAAAGTTGTGGGACGCTTATCGTACGAGCTCAGCGGCAGATTCTGCACACATGACAGAAGTCCTTTGCTGCTGACTAAGGGGCGGCGTGGCCAAATAACGTCGTCCTGCGTCGCACGCAGCACCAGCGTCTGCACCATGGCCGAGACGTCGCACCGTTCCCGCCTCAAATGATTCAAAATGCAGAAAGCAGTACTGTACTTAGTTTTAGCACGTTTCCTTTTCTACAATAATGGCTTATAATGTATGCGTTTGTAGAGAAAACCAAACGTTTTTTAGTAGTTGCAGAAAACTTGATTGTATCGGATATGTAATTTAATTGGATATAGCCGGTTCTTGGATTCAATTACCACAACGATACGTCTAGTTCAGCACCTGACACGTCGTCAAGTGAACGGGCACAAGTCGATGGCTGAGTCTGTTCTGTCCCCGCGCAAGCGTCTGCCGCGGTTAAATGTGGACGGTCCCTCCTTACAGGACGATGAGCGTTACGTGACACTGTCCGTCGCGCCGTCTTCTCCGTCTACGGCGTCTACATCCAGCACTGCCGACGTCTCCTCTTTGACCGTCGTAAATGCCAAGGCCAAGACCAAGGCGCAGTCGCCCCCATACGAGCAGAGCCATCTGCACGAGCGTGCCACGTCGCGTCTTGTGGCCAAAACCGACGAAGCCAGCGACGAACGCATCAGTGACGCCAGCGACGAGGGTGTTGACGGGCTTACAAGGCTGCAGCAGCTCCGCAATTGGCTGCGACGACTGCGTCAGACCTTCGGCACGTCATTCCTGCTGCTCGTGAGTACCGTTTACGCCGTGCAGGGCTTCACGAGCTTCAGCGCTCTAGCAGTCAATTATTTCTTCAAGGACAACCTACAGCTGCAGCCGGCCGAGTCGCAGTCGCTGCTTACGTTCATGATGGTGCCCTGGGGGATCAAACCTCTGTACGGCATCATCTCTGACAGTTTGCCACTGTTCGGATATCACCGCAAGTCGTATATGATGCTGTGTAGTACCGTGGGTGCGATTGCAACGTTGACGTTGGCTGTGCCCGACCTAATTACGACCCCGGTTGGTGCTGTGCTCGTGCTAATGCTTAATAGCTTATCAACGGCGGTGATTGACGTGGTAATCGATGCCCGAGTTGTCGAGATGTCGAGATTAGATCCCAAATGTGGCGCGAACGATCTGCAGTCAGTCTCATGGATCTCCATGGCGGTGGGTGGCGTGCTTGGGTCGTTCCTATCCGGTCCAGCGACACACAACCTGGGAGTGCGTGGCGTGTTCTGCTTTGCGGCGATTGGACCGCTTACGATTCTGATCTTCTCTACACTCATGCATGAAGCGAAGACAACAGTGAGCAAGCGCCACTGGAAAACCTCAGCTAAGAGACAGTTGCGGCAACTAAAGGGGGCAATTGGCACACCCGTGATTTGGATGTGTGCGCTCTGGGTGTTCCTGTCCGGTGCTATCAGTCCTGGGTACTCACAAGTCTTCTTTTACTTCTCGACGGACGTGTTGCAGTTTACGCCCGAGTTTTTGGGGACAGTATCGGCTTTTGGGTTTATTTTCCTCATGGTGGGTACCATGCTGTACAACGCGTGCTTCAAGGACATGTCATTCCGTCGCATCTTCTTCATCGCTCAGCTCAGTTTGGCTGTTGTGTCGCTGCTGGACGTCGTATTGGTCACGCGTAATAACCTGGACGTGGGTATCCCGGACAAGGCGTTTGTTCTGGGCGATGCAGTGATTGCAGACGTCATCAGCCGCCTCAAGACGATGCCAGTGATGGTTCTCTGTGCCAAGCTCTGCCCTAAGGGTATTGAAGGCACGCTGTTCGCACTATTGATGTCCATTTCCAACTTTTCTCGCAGTGTGAGCGAATTTTGGGGAGCTCTCGTGTGTACTTGGTTAGGCATCGCCAAGGACGAGTACGACATGTTGTGGCTCGCTATCATTCTTCGCAGGTGGTTCCCATCTTCTTCCTCTTCCTCATCCCAGCGACGGATCCTCAGGAAATTGTGGACGAACTGGACTTCAGCTCCCCTGCCCATGGTGATGCAGGTAAAGATGAAGCGGGTGATGACGATCACGCTGGTACGATTCGTGAAGACCACACAGTCAATGACTGCTCGCCAACTGAAGAGGAAGAGCTGAAAGGCACGGTAAATGCTGTTGTTTGATAAATGTTTATACTATTATAGTTCTACAAGTCTGATTATGGGGAACGAGGCTACAGGTAGAGGAGGATTGGGTCTGACAACTCGACCATCGTACAATATGAAGGTATCCATAGGTTCTCTATTATATCTCGACACGTCGACATCGACAGGCGAAGATTCTTGCAGCTTTTCACTTATGCGTTCGTAATCTCGTCATCGGACAACTCGGAGAACGAGATGATCATGGCTGTGATGTTGTCCATGCTGCGCTTTAAAAGTGCAGCCTCCACGAGGGCATTCGCAGCGAACTGCAGCGCCTCTTTAGTCACATCTTCCGAGCTCGTAGGCTCCTCTGACCAGTGGAACTCAGCCACCTTGGCACGCACAATCTTGGCAGCATCATCGTCGCTCAAGCGGTCCCATAGGCCGTCACTGGCAAACACGAGATACTCACCAGCCGCTTCCACATTGAGAACACGAACGTCCGGAACCACCGACACTAAAGGAGCTGAGCAAGATGCCGGCAGGTTCACCTTGAGTGGATGATCCCCCAGCGATCGACTGATGGCCAAGCGCAGTGGAATCTGGTCGTGTGCTACGCGCCAGCATCCAGAGAAGATGACCTTCCCTCCTGCGTCTTGAACACATTCCGTTTCCTCCTTGAGGTCGGGTTTGTGATCCACCGAGAGACGCACAGCACTTGGCACATCTTCCTCCTCTTCCTCGTCACTGCTGTCGTCTGCCTGGGCCAGAACAGCTCGCGAGTCGCCAAGGTTCGCAACAAAGAGCTTACCGCCCACTAAAAGCCCCAGTAGCACTGTCGAGCCATCTCGTTTGTTCAAAATGACGGTGCGCTGCAGAATCTCGGCGTCTACAGTCGCAAACGCGTCCACCAACAGTTCGCGGACTTTCTCCACGTCGTCTTCGGTCAATTCCGAGTGCTGTGCGCGACGACTGATCTCTATCAGGTCTTCACTCTCGCCTAGCATGTCTCTAAACCGACGACGCGCATACTCGGACGCATACGCTCCGTTGTGGCCGTCGTATACTGCCAACAAGCTGGGCGACCAGTCGGCGTCCTCCTCATCCTCCAGCAGACGCTCTACTACCGAGTAGCGATCTTCCATGTACGGACGCGCGCCTTGTGCAAGCGATACTCCGACCTGGACGCGCATCTTGGCAGCCTCTCGTATCCTATTCTTGTACCTGTACTTTGGGTGGCAGATGGTCGTGAACTCGGCGCAACGTGGGGCTTTGGTCTCGTCCTCATGGAAGCGCTTGAGAGCATTCTCAATCACGTCCACTTTGCGTCGCTTGCGTTCTCTATTTTTCGATATGAAGCGTTTGATTGTCGGTGTGGAAGGCTTCACCTCGCTCTCTTCAGGCAGTGGCTGGGACGGCTGCGAGTCCTCCAGCTCATCCGGACTGGTCTCGGGTCCTTCACTGTCTAACGATCCTGCTGTGATCAGCACAGCTAATTACGTTAGCATTGCATTCGAATAGCAACCAACACGCAGCGAAGCTTACCGGACGTGGTGGGCGACAGCGACTGCCGTTTGCGCTTAGCAGCGGTCGGTGACGTTGCCATAGTCTCCGATCCGGCCTCTGCTTCTTGTGGCGTCGCGGGGATCGTCTTGTCTGCCGCGATCTGCTCGAGCGCGCGGATGCCGGCACGTTGCAACAAGCGTGGCGTATGCGGCGACTTGCAGTTGTCGGGTGGCGTGGCCGAGCACATTTCAAGCCCCACCATGCCGTTAACGGGCGAGGCCACCAAAACGTCGGCAGGAGCCATCGATGTGGATTTGCGAATGAGACGAAGAGAGATGGAGAGGTAGATGAAACGACCCAAAGTCGGACGTTGCTGCTCGCGAGGATGTAGCAGTCGATGTCGCGCTCTCGTACGCACTTGCCAGCTTTTGGTCTACGCTGTACGGCGCCAAATGGGAAGTGACTTATTGCAAACTCCCGCGCTTTCCAACGAAACCGACAGTTGCACCGCGTCGTAATTGGCCAGGTCATGATGGTTTAAACCTAATCACTTACATCCTTTGTAATCGTATACGTCTCTTATAAGGATAAAACCATTTATTTAATTAAAGTATTAAAGTACCCTCAGACATTATGATCTTGTTGAAAGTGTTGAGTACCACAAATTCCCCCTTTTTTGAAAGACATGCCGTTAAATAGTGTCGTCTTCTGCATATGCATTTGCGTGGTATTACTGCTTGAGGTTGATGCGAAGGCGGCACATGCGAGGCGTTGGCGCGCGCCGACGCGGATGCCGTCTATTGGATGCAGCAGTACAACATTTGTGTCCAGGGTATACGCAATTGGGCTTAGTGCATGTACAATTAGTACGGACGCTGTAGATGTAATCTACTCCACGTGCTACTGTTCAACGACCATAGACGATGAGTGCTGAGAGTGACACAGGGAGCCGGAGATACGGAGATCGGTGACTCCGAGTGTTATACAGGCCCAGTATAGAAAAAGTTGGTTAAGAGACAGTGTACGTAGTCCCCAAGTGTCCGCAATCCTTCGAGTGGGACGACCACATTTCCCCAAGAACTTCACGATCCCCGTGCTCGTGCGTGCGAACAGATTGTCAAGTACCCGCCGTTCCGCATCCTGGTTGCGCCGGAGCTGGAAGATGTCAGAGCCAGGAGGATGCTGCCTTCACTGCGCTTTGTGATGCTCGACATGGAGGCACGACTGCTGGCGCAAAACGCGTGGGTGGACAAACCCAGTCCCAACGACGCCGCCGCGATGCTGGAGACAGTAACAGGAAAGCAATTCGGCCCGCCCCGTCTCAAAGCGAGGGGAAGTCCACCACATTAAACTCGCATACTTCTCGACCAAAAAAGTGAGGGGGGGAAGATGACGGAGAAGACATAAGCAATGTGTCTTACACTGAATGTCCAATTGTCGCAACCGTTCAAAGCCCTAAAGCGATGAACGTCCCCGTCTTGACCACAGCCATCGTGGGTGTCTGGGCGAGCACGGCGTGGAGTCTCTGTCGCATGTGGTAAACCGCCTCGACGAGTACTTATACACGTTCTCGTATCACTGGAACGTGGCTAGGGCCTGCGACGCCGGACTCTCGCGACGAGGTCTTGAGTATCTTGCTGCACGAGATCCAAACTGGGGAGATGGCCGTGATGCTGCCTATGTCGCAGTGAAGAACAACTACCCTCACGTGCTGCAATGGCTGAGCGAGCGCTATCCTGATCGCACGTCGTGGGGTAGTCTACAAGCTCGCTGCTTCATAAGCACAGCGGCAAAACGTGGTCATTTTGCCATTCTCAAGTGGCTTCATACTAATCGCAAGGAAGGATGCACGTTTTCTGACCAGCCAGCCGCCAAGTTTGGCCAGCCATCTATGCCCATCACCATCCAGCCAGATATGACGCTGGCTAGGCCCGCTCTTTCCACGCTTTTATCGCTAGCCAGACCGATTTAGGACGACTGTCGGTCTGAATTATGCATAGCGGGCCAGATATCGGTCTCTGCTACTAGATTTAGATCTCGATTGACCCTGGACGATCGCCATATTTATAGACCGCAAGAATGACAGAATCCTTTCCTACAAATCGAACTTACACTATCCGTAATCTCGAGTGGGATCCAATCAGTAATCTAGTCTGTTTGATTAATCGAGTGGCGTGCGTGCTTTCGGGCCTGTTGGTGTCGCCAGATATGAAATGGCGACAGATTATATATGGTGCAGTGTGCATTGCTCACTCTGAAAGTTCCCATGTCGTCGCCGACTTCCTCCGATGGAGGATTCTCCTCTTCGTCGTCTTCCGCCACATCGACGGCTTCGTCCGACGGAGATACTCCCTCTGCTCCCAAGGCGCCATCTCCAATCGTTCAAGCTACACTAAGAAACATGCTACCACAAGGATGGATTCGCTATGGTCAGTGCTGCGCTACCACAGTCGCCTCTTGTAGGCGACGATTGTAAGCAAGAGGACTGCGGAGGTGAAAGCGATGTGGCGAAATCTTCGCCTAGTTAGCAACCCCAAATCCTCTGACTGCAGAATTACTCTGCAACTCGCAGTAAACATCTACTGTCTGGACTGCAATCAGGCGCTCTTCTCACTAGAGAAAGAGGAAGGAAGGTGTGCAAACACGCAGCGCATGGCGCTCACTAGGAGAATTGGTGATCGACACGTACTGAAGACGCATCCAGAACATTGTCCAAGGAGAAGTTTGAGGTGCCGCTGGTGCTGCCACCTTTGCTTGAGATGGGGAAATAGCACGACGGGGTACGCTTTTGAAGAACACGAAGAGCGCAGTAGGTGCACCCTCCCGGGGACCAACGCAACTAGTGCATTTAAGCAGAGAATTGGGAAAGCGGACTTTTTCACTCGCTTTATAGAGAACAAGAAAACGCTTGACACCGGCAGTGTGTCGCTCAACGAAAAGAAGAAGAAGCGTCAGAAGAAGGACCTGCTCCGCGGCGCCAAGACGGCTGTCATGAAGGCCATCGCCGCGAAGGACACAGCCGATGCTCTATAGACTATCGGGAGGCCACTGACGACGAAGCTACAGCCTCTAAGAAGGTCGTCAGCGCTAAAGAAGGCTGCAGCTACGAAGGCTGCTGTAGCGAAGATGGCAAATGCTGCCATGAAAGCTGCTGCCGTAGATGCAAAACAAGCTGCCTCTACCACTGCAGCGGAGGCAAATGCTGCAAAGGCAGCGGCTGAAGCGGAGGGGGCCTATGCCGACTTGGACACAAATGATGCTTTTGGAGAGGTCAATGCTGCTGCCGACGGCGGGAGCTCTGATGATAAACGGAAGTCTAAGTCGAGGAATCTTAACAAGCATCGCAAACACAAGAAAAGATCGTCTGAGAAAGACAAGAAAGGCAAGAACACAACAAATAAAAGCATCCCAAGAGCTTCGCTTCGGATGAGAGGTTGTCGTATGCGAGCACCGAGTTTGACTACGAGAACAAGCCACCAGCCTCCATTTGCAACCCGCCCCAAGCCTCGGTGTCAGTTCTTAACAAAGCGAGCATGGACAGTAATGAAGCGAGCATGGACAGTAATGAAGCGAGCATGGGCATTTTTGTGACGATGATGGCATCGACGTCTCCGATGTCGTATTTCGAGGACGTCCCAGCATTTTATTTTGATCGGCGCATTCACAAAAGTATACTTTACCATTGACATTGAATACAGCCAGGTTAGAATACTACAGTAAAAAAAATTAACAGCATACCTCTTCTTCTACGACAAAGTTTTTTTTTGTTTTGTACGTCGTTCGTATTAACGTCTATCTAATAAAGGGTATTGCTTGATTCAGACGAACGGCATTTTGTAGCTGCATGGTCTGCAGTTGAACCTCCTCAACGACCCCTGAATCTTGAATTTCTGTCATGTAGATCCTCTTGACATCCGTTGAGGGAATTTCTTGCTCGAGGTAGACTTGGAACTCCTGTTTTTTGTTTTCCTGATGCAGATCAATGCGTTCGACTCGACGCGCTTGGCGAGCTAAGCGCCACCCCTCCCGACATTCGAACTGCTCCCTAGACATACTATTTGCGTTACGCTCAAAGTTCCGATTAGCAGTTCGTTGTGATTTTCGGGTGCGCTCTTTTCCAGCGCGGTGCCGCTGGCGAAGCACACGCTTCTGTTCTCAGATGGTGGATTGGCGTTCGGCGTCTTGACGCCGAACTAAGCTTCTTGCCGCTCTTCGTCCCCGATTTGCACTTGCAACTATCTCCGTGAAAATGCCATGGGGGGGGAGGCTGGAACCAACGACAAATGTGATGTACTCAAATGATTCGCTTTGACGAGATCTGTTACCCGCGTGTCGGATCTGTCCACGCGCAAAATATCATAGTCGGTATTCATGAAGCCGATTACGCACTGCATCTTCCACGCTCAGGGGTTAATGGTAACTCCAAAATCGGTGAAGTTAATATTGTGAAAATATCACCTGTAGACCAGTTAATATAAAAAATATCACCTAATATTTTCTTCTGAGACAATATGATATTATTAAATATCAACTTAATATTAGTTAATACGATATTATATTTTTCAATGATTGCGTAATCGAGCTACATTAACCAATCAGATGTCGTTAACGCTCGACTAGCTGAAGTATTACTAATCAACCGTGAGTACCGGGACAATTGTGAGTGACGGCAAGGTTGGCGTTGTGTGTTGGCACTGCTGAGCGCATTAATCTAGCGCCACAGGCAGCAGGTTTATTAGACGCACGATGTCGACGAGGAGATCGGTAGAGAACAAGAAAAAATGTTTTGATTTCGCTCTATCAACGTTAAACAGCTGCAGTTTTCCATCTCGATCGCCTTTGTCTGTGTCACAGTGAAATACTAGAGCAAATACTCGTCAGTCTTAAAGCCTACTGCTTTTCTAGAACCTGATCGAAAAAGTTATTTGGCTCCGCTCGGTTCACAGAGGTAAGCTGGCAAGAAACGTACTTAAGTGGGAAAATATCATAAAATATCATGTAGTATCTAATATTTTTCAGCTCTCCGAGCTAATATAAAAATATTATGTTAGCTTTTGCAAAAATGAGTTACTATTAATATTTAATATCGAAAATAGTACTATTACTATCAAAAATATCATATGATATTTGGTTACCATTAGCCCCTGTCCACGCTGCGTAAAAAGCTTTGTCAGGTAACAATCCTGTTATGCAATGCCTCGGGATCCGCACGAATTAGTTTGGAGGGTAATCTTTCTTGATGACGAGATCGCTCAGAAGCTTGGTGCCTCGATCATGAAAATAAATACTGGTAAACCCGAACTTTCTCACAACGTGAATTCTGAAGCTCTCAAGTAGCTCTATATGGATAGCGAAGAAAGCCGAGGTAGTATTCGGATGAACTAGGTGGTCTACATCCTCATCCGTCATAGGTGAAGTATCGTACAGGTAAATACCCTGTTCACTAAAGTCTGGGTGCCCCGTTCCCAAAGTAGCGTTGGGCGTTCGATGCTCGATGCTTATCCGGAAGAATTGACGAAAGAGCTCATAATCGTTGGCCGTCATCTCCAGCGCAGACCAAGTGGAAATCAAGAATGAAATCCGTGCAGTTCCAAATTACAACAACATACCTGTAATGCTGGGGCAACATAAACAGTCAGCCTATGGTGTAAGCTAAACCCGTACTAAGTGATCACTGATAAATATGATATCCTGTTACATATCATCTGAACGACTCGGTAGTCACTAATATGACATACTGTATTACTTTCATAATGCTGTCGAATCTTGACCTTGATATTTCTTCGGTCCGTTAAGGAATTAACCGTGGCGATAACTTTTGTTCTACCGGGGAAATAAAGTTAAAACGAATTTCAGTGGATATTTGCACTACCCCGTACTTAAGTAGTATTCAGTAGGGCAATGGGCGGTGCCGCCACGAACGGACATTTGGAGGTCGTGCAATGGCTACACTTTAACAGAGGGCTGCAGCAAGGCGGCGATTGGCGGAGCTGCAGCTTAAATGTGGTGCAGTTTTTGCTTTTGGAATTCCGCCGTCAAGACGAGATGCAACGGGCCTTCACTGCCGCCACCAGTTGCGGTCATGTTGCCAAGTGGGTCAAGACAACGTATCCAGAGAAATTAAGCGACACGGACACGCAACGTTCGTTGAATGGCTGTACTGGATCGTGTGCGACGAACGCCGAGGGGCTTCTATTATTCGGGACGCTGCCGAAATCGCCTTGAAAGCTGGTCGTAAAAGGGTGGTCAAGCTATTCGAACGGAAGTTAAAACACCCTCGGGACGCCAAGACAACACACCTGAAGAAGAAGGCCAAGCGCCGACATCGTCGCTATTAAAGGGGCCATCGCCTCTTACGGCTTGAGCAATCTGTTTGTCAAGAACGGCCTCCAAATGCAAAAACTTCTTACCGGTAGCAGAGCGTACTCTTTTAATCCCAGCACTTAAACTCCCTTTTCTCTTTCATTTCTGTACGTGATTGTCAGCTTACCGTATGGCCAAAGTTTGGTCGGCACCAAAGATAAAGATTCACTTCAACCGGTAAGACTGGCGAAAAGGATGTGCACGTCGTCCATGTACAAACCCTATTATAGAAGCGCCTTTGCCAATGATTGGCTTGTGTCGGTGTGTCAAAGCCTCATGTCGCCCTTCCGTCGTCGGACGAGCTCCGGCGAATTGGCCAGTCGACACTGCTCAGGCCGAGCTCACTTGACACGTTACCTCCAAAGCGGAATCAATCCCTCATGCGTTTCGGTTGCTTCCTGCTCGTGGTGGCGTTCGTCCTCGCTGCTTGTTGCAACAGTCTTGCCAGCGCTGAACGCGCCTCGCTGACCAAGAAACCTAAACAGACCTACAATTATGACCTCACAACGGCTGAAAACGTGAAACATTACCTCAAAGACATCAAGAAGATGACCGCAGAGGAAGAGAGAGCGTTTCCTGGAGCCACCCAACTCAGCGGTTTTTTCGAGAAGATAGCCAAAGGTACCAACGCTAGGGTCGCCGTGGACAAGGTCAAACAGGCTCTGCACAAGGACACCAGGCACGCGTCGGTGTCGGTGGCTATCAGTCTATTGAAAATGCTACTGGTAGTTGGCGTCATCTCCGTGGCGAGCGGCTACATCGTTTATCGTGTGAGCAACAGTTAGTGATAAAAGCTCTATTAAGTACCTCTGAAGTACGTACTACGTAGTACATACCTCTTCAACAGAACGAAGTTAACGTTATACCATTGGTTCTTGTTTTGTGACAACTTTAAGCACACGCCCTACTAATCCCATTCCTCTTCGTCTAACTTGATCGCGGCAACTTTCGCTTTGAGAGCCTCTGTTTCGGCGGAGTCGTGGGGGTATTCACTGCTTCCCGCTGCACCCACAAGTCGCTCTGGTGACGACTTTTCCTCGGTCTCCTCGCTGTGCTCCTGTGAGTCGGCGCTGTCAGCAGTGCCCTCTTCCTCCGTCGCAGCTTCATCTTCCTCGTCACTCCAGGCATCCGCAACGACTGGAGCACGACGGGGTTCGATGTGTTCCCAGCCACGGTTGACAGGAACAGGCGTTCTAGCTAGCACCGGCACAGTTGGCTGAGGAGGCGTGCTACCACGCAACGGAAGGAACTTCAGTCGACTCAAAGCTTGGGCTGCTCGTGCCTGCTTGTTGAGATTGCTGATGTGCGCAGACAGCGTCACTGTGGGCACACGCGCATCGTCGCGCTTAAAGAACGAAATTCGACGGTGCGGATCCTCGCCGAAGGATTCCGACACGACGCCGTAAAACGAAGCCAGTTGGTGCATCAGAGCTCGCTGTAAGAAGAAAAAATAACAGCGAATTAGCGCCCAGTCACAACACAGCCTCCAAAGCAAGCTAACTTAACGCACCTCTTCTCCCGACATCACTCGCAGACTGACGCTATGGCAAGACGGTTCCTGCACAATACGTTCCAATCGACGCTCAACCACAGTGAGGTAGCTTGTGTTCGCCTTACCCCAGGCCACCAAATCGTCGGGGTAGCTTGGAGTCTTCATCTCTTCCTCGAAAGCAGCGGTATCTCCCCTAGCAAGTCCCGGTCTAGTCACTCCAAGAGCTTGTGCCAGTCTCTGGTTGCGCACGATTTGACCGCGAGGAGGAGTGGGGACCTGTCTCGCTGGAGACGGACCCTGTGTGTGGCCGCTTGAAGGTCGAGTAATAGCTGGTCTCAACACTGGAGCTGGCGCTGGTCCAGCAGGTGTTGGCAGTGCCGGGAAGGCTTCCTCAAGTCGCACTGGAGGTGACGGCGGGTGGTCACTGACGCCGTAGTTCCAATGATCTGGCACTTCGTCGGCGTAACCTGGAGTAATTGGTCCACTAACAGGGTTACTGCCACCACGCGCGACTTGAAAATTAAACTGAAGACGATTGTGAACGCCGTGAATGGAGCTCATATGCGCTTGATACTCGACATCGTTCGGGAAAACAACGAAGCGCATCTCAAGACTGCGACAAATGTACACCCGTCAGAACCGATATGCATAGAACTAATCGAAACAGAAGTACCGTGAGCGTACCATCTTCGGTCCTCGCACAAATGATGTTCTCGACGGAAATGTGTTTCCAGACTTGCACTGCAACATAAAGCGAATTGTTAGACATTAGGATCGTTGCGACATAGCACAGGAAACATCACAATACTCACTAGTTGCGGAAGTATTCGTTCTCCACCTTGCAGATGTGGCACTTAAAGTGGTTGCGTTCCAGATGCTCGTACAGCTCCTTGTCCCCGTAAAATCGTTTCCGACAGAACTGACACATTGGGTGGAAATCCTTTCCTGTGTTGGCGTGTTTCTGACCCGTGGGACCTCCTCGACTACGTCCAATGTTGTGTCCTTTCAAGGCGCCCTTGGTAAACACCTCCTGTTCCTGAATAAAGAACGACTGGTGACTCAAGCAGAGCTCGCAGAACTCCACCCCGTGATCTTGGCGTAAATGTTCCTTCAGTTGGCCCAGCGAGTGCTTCAGCTCTCGGCAGCGCTTCATCCTGCACTTAAACTCGCGCAGACTGCGCAGTTCGTAGTAGTGCGCTTTGCAGTCGACGTAGATCGTCTCGGAGGGCTCGTCCAGCACGGAATCTGGTCCTGCTGCGTCGCCCCAGAGCTCAAAGCTCTCGTACGGACGCGAAGTGCTGCTGACAACCACGCGGTCAAGTGGCTGCTTGCACATGGGACAGTTGCGGTCGTCCATAATGAGTCGCATGCGCATGGAGCACTTGCTACAGATACCGTGATGGTTGCACTCGCCTACAGCATAAAACTTAATGGGATCGGCACATAGAATACAGTACTCAGGCTCGTCGTCCTCTTCGGGGGTCGAGGCAGAAGTTGACGCTTCATGAGCAGTAGAAACGGGATTCTTTTTGGCAGGTCTTTTCCTTCTCTTGGGCTTCGACTTCTCTTCTGCTACGTTCTCAGCTTCGTTTTGCTCAGATGGAAGAGCGGATTCTTTCTTCTTACGGTGACGAGGTCGAGGGCGGCGCTTACGTTGACCTGACTCGTCCTGATCGGTGGCGGGTGTCGGATCGTTAGCGGCGCGTCGGCGAACGGAGCTAGGAATCATCGTGAAGGCAGGCGTTAGCGCCGAGAGTGTCGAAGTTGTTGCGATGCTGCTGCTGCTGCTGCTGGTGGTGGAGCTGCTCGCCACGCTCGTCATGGCGTGCTGCGTATCGCGTGGGGTTGAGATATGAAGGGATGAAGCGGACCCATCCAAGTAGACTCAGAAATAAGATCAGACGTATGAGTGATGGTCAAATCTGACTTGTTGATCTGAGTCCATCACCGAAAGGAATGCGCCAGGAAAGTTCAAAGTATCAAGCGAAAATTGCTGTTTGTTTGTAATATTTTGTTTGGTGCGGCAATCCGAGCAATTTTGCATGCTTTTGAAAAGGAAATGTGCTGTGCGAAGGTAAACGATAACAAGGGCGCCTTCAAACCCTGCGAGTACGCCAAGCCTAAGACGAGGTAGTTGCGTTCATGTCATTGTAAGAAACGGGAACTACTAGACGCTAGAGTTAGGAAGGCTCGTCCAAAGTGGTAGTGAAGCAAGAAGACTGTAGGAATAACCTCTCAACACCATGATGCGCGCTGCGCACGCAACCAGGGGGTCCGAAAATGATATTGTTATTTATCGTAGTAGCATCTTCACGATAAATTATCGCGAAGCTAGCTTGTATGTTGGCAATACGTTATGATGCTTTAGCTAGAAGACCAATAAATAATTGAGTTACTGCTGCAATAACCAAGGTTTATTGAATCAATAACAGGTATCTACGCTCGAGTTGCTGTGTCAAGTGTTTGTGCGTCTCAGTAACCAGCATTTTCGCGCAGGAAGAGAATCATTTCTAAAGTGGGAAGTGAGAGAAAAGGAAATGAGTCTGCTGAGATCAGCCGATTCGGCAACAAAACGACTGGTTCGTGGCGATCGATTGACTGCTGCAGATAACTTCAGGAAACTGTACGCATAAATTACCGTATGTAATATGCAGCCACCATAAATTATGCACGAGCCTAGTTTAGGGTGACAACATAAATAATGTCTGCTTATTTATTGAAATTACTGTGTCGTCAATTTTTTTTTCGGGGGCCCTGCACGCAACACCACCACCCTAGCAACACTTTGTGTATTTTAGATATCCTACTACTGTTATGTCTAAACTGGTATGGAGCAGTACTGCGAAAGGTAGTGTAGCTGCCGCAAGTGATAATCTCCTCGCATTTTTATTTGCAGCGCCATATTTGGCACGGTCCCCACCAACACACGGTCTCGCTATCCACGCCGACTGCTTGCAGCAGATGTGTGCACTTAAAACGCAAAGGAGGGTGGCAGCTCAAGGCCAGGTGCGTGTATACGAAGCGTAGCACGCACTGAATACCCAATTCAATCGCAACGCGATTCGCATGTGGCTGCTCAAAATACTATGGAACACCGTATCTTGCTGTACTGTAAAGCAAAGATCCCGTTAGCTAGGTGCAGCCGCCTGATGGCCATCCGCTCGATTTAGTCATGATTTTGCCTCGTTTAAGGCAAACCAATAAGACAGCAACTTACACTTCATCCTTAACAAAGTTAGCACGCCGGATTAAGATACGCGTCCCCGTAACAAAGGGAAACATCGACGGTTTGGTGGGTAAATTCCTTCTACCCAAGGTAGATTCTTTATTACAATCCTTTTCTACCTAAGACCTGCTATCAATTACTTACAGGATTTGCGTCTCCGTGGCGTACCTTGTGCACGCTTGCTTCACATCGACTACCGGCTGCGACCCTATGGTTTTGCGGCCACGAATTCGTACTTAAGCGAATCGGAATTTTCCGACGCGCCGGGGTTTGAACCCGCAACCTACCGATCAGAAGCCCAGTGTTTAACCACTGCACCACCTGGCCCTTAGATAACGCAGGGTCGGTGGATGAAGAATTGCAGAGGGCTAAAGCCGAACAGCCGGATCCCGCCGATCCACAAGTGGATCCAAGCTTTCCACTGGATAAAGTGCCTGGATCCCTATCGAGAGTGGCAACGCTAGTCAAACCCGAACTGTCGGGTTTAGACTCGTTAGAGGACCGGCTGGATCCGACCGGTGACTTCCCCAGTACCAGGATACCCGACCCCACGAAGACAGAAGGGATGACGGTCGAAGGAGAGTCGCGGTGCCTGGATCCAAGGGTGGATCAGACAAAGACCGAAGATGAACAAGTCTGCTACCGTGAAGGCGGGGATCTACACGCCGAGGATCTTGGAGAAGGTATGGCGGTAATCCCGGAGGTACCACTGACCACAGAGGAGGTCACGATTGATGATATCCAAGTGGATCCAGGGGCGAACGAACCCACTGAAGTGGATCGTCTGCGTCAGAAGATCTGGGAAAGCCGACATCTGCTGATCGGTAAGGGTAATGCGTTACCGCCCGTCGCCCGCGGAGTCAAATGTGACATCGATGTCGGCGACGCGAAACCGATCGCTCAAAGGGTGCGGAAGGTGGCACCTCAGTTCCGAGAAAAACTGTCGGATCTGATTAAGGGCCTGCTGCAAGCCAGGGGATCCTGGCTTGCAGCAGGTCGACGGTTTGGTGGGGTAGCAAGGTATCTTCACCGATATCCGTGGGAACACTAGTGCTGAGTGAATAATAACGCTGGCGCGTGCGACTAACAGAAACTTGGCAGCGGAGCGTCAAGTCACAAGAAAATAAAGTGTGGACCATACAACAAGTACACCCAACTGGGCAACAAGGCTATTGGGTCTCACGGTGCTGAAGCACCTGGTTCTGTCGAGATCCGGGAAGAGGAGGATGAAGGGCGAGCCACAGAGACTACGCGCGAAGTGGAGAAGATATTTTAGCTGGGGGGGGCAGGTGAAGGAACGTAAAGCGCTGCGACTACCAGGCTAATTGGCTGCAGCCAATGAAGAGCACGTGGCACGGGTGCACAGCGTGGCACCAGCGTCAACGGAACGTGGTCCGGAGGCTATCCTAGAAACACCGCGAAATCGAGTGATGTTCTAAATGTTCTGTCCCAGCACGCAACGAGTGACGTACCTTACATAAGGCATTCCGGAACGACACGTGGAGTGCAAGTAGCGATGTCGATGGCTCGCTCCAGCCTCACTGTAACGGGCCTGGGGTGTCCGTTACTTGCTTACACGTAGTGATGAGGAAGCGTACAAGTCCAGTGATACTGAAACCAAGTACTTAATCTGAAGGAAAATCAACTCTGTTTTTTATTTAGGTCCAGGGCGGTTCGCCCTGACCACACCAAAACACGTCAACTCCTTATTGGTTGATTATGGGTCTGGCTACCAATATTTCAACCAATAAGCTGACGGCAGCTCAGCACACGCTACTCGTGTGCTGCTGCACCTACTTTTGTAATGCAAATCTACCTACTTATGTAATGGTGTGAACCACTACAAAGAACCTATAAAACTACCTACATATGTAGCTTGGGAGGGCCCATTACACTCACAACTTCGATGTTGTCGAGCCGTCTGTCGTTGATGCCAGTCAAAGGGGTCCCAAATGGAGTGTCGATGGTCTCGCCGGCGTATGAGCAGACCGACCATCCGGTCCCAAGCGTTACACTCTCTGAGTCGAGTCACCAAGGAGAAAGCTGTAAAAAGTAGATCCAATCGAGCGACGTTTTTGCAGACGACTGTGACGTCGCTTGTCGGGCCTAAATCATGGCACGTCGGCGCCGACGTCGTTATCTCGGTATTTGACGACTGTGTCTCACCAGGTGGACCCTCGCTCTGTACTCTCTCCTTCGGGGTTCGGGCATTCAACAGAGTTCTCGCGGCCAATGCCTATATCTACCATTCCAGCACATAGGCTGTAATAGGGAGACGTGTCAGTGAGGGAAGGGCCGTTGAAACCAATGCTACGAGCTGGATCGCTACTCTATGGAGTGCAACTGGCCGAAGCCCCAAGGGCACTTCCGGGACGGGTAACGCCGTAAGATGAAAGGTCCGGGTGCGCCCACTACTCAGTCGCAGTAATGAAGGGGGCAGGTGAAAAGGGAGGAATGTGTCGCTCCTTCCTCTTGCCTAGTTGGATACGAAGTAGGTGGGCGAACAATGATACTTATGCGTACGTAGCTGCCAATATGAGCGCTGGTGCCAAGGAGCACGTTCCTGCTAATGTGAGCTACGGTGCCAACGACACTTATGCTGTCGAGCGATACTAATACATACGTAGCTGTCAATATCGAAGTGAGTATCAATATACTTGTATCATTGTGGGTGTAGGCGTAAAGACTGACACAGTGAGTGAGCCCAAGAGGACTTCTGGACGGGAGGTGCAAAATTCTAAAAGTAATTGCCGAGCAGGAAAGGCCGGAAACGAAGGGTATTGAAGTTGAAATTAGTGGAACGGACCCAATTAAACAGAGTCGTCTGGAGGAAGCAGAAGACGAGGAGCGTGGTGAAATCTTTAAGTCGGACGAAGTCTCGGATAGAACACCGGAACGTGCAATGGTGACAACGAACGAAGCGAAATTAGCAACGGAACGCTCCATAACGGAACGAAGTAAGCAAATGGAGTGTGATCAACTCGAGGAGGCAGAGAAAACGTCCTGTAACTCGTTGACGGTTGACGGAGCACTCGACTCTCTCGCAGAATACGCTCAATACGCCCGGTAAGAGCGAGTTTCAGCCGTCAAGAAGAAAGTCATTGCCGTCGTGTAGCTTGATGCGCGATGTGGAACGGAACGTGCGCACCACAATCGAGGCTACGGATGTTCCACCTGGTGACGACCACGAGGAGCCCAGGGAATCGATCTCTCTCGGCTTGGGGTCCGTATTCGGCAGAAAGAATTATGATCTCTTGAACGGAAACGTCTCAATGACAAAAGTCAGGAACATACGGTGGCGACGATGACGTGCCTCCAGTGCGTGGAAAGCAAGCAAGGGCGCCGCTGGAAAAAAAAGTCGCTTCGCATTGAGAAAGTCGAGGCTCTGAGTGACGCGTTCTTGACCAAGGCTCTGCATTGAGCTTGTCTCTACTTTTAAAGAGAAGCTCCTACTATTCGGAGAAACCTGTAGGCTCGGGGGCCGAGGTCCTTCGCAGTCGCGGCGGTGGTTACAACAGCCGTCGAGTCGGAACCAAACGGATTGTGTATTCTCGAGAGGGCTGAGTCAAACATACCGCTGAAGCCACCGGATCTTGAACCCGTAGGGCAGTTGC